GTAGAACGTATTTGATTTTGATGGTTTTAGAGGTTTAAGAGAGAGATTTTTCTTAACACAGATTGGAATCTTTGCAGCAGTCGTTTACTAATGAATTGCGTTTTTTAAAAGATTATTGGATAAGGATCAATTGGTTAAATTTTTCAATAGTTTTTTGGTTTTTTTTAGTAAAATAACAGAAACATTTTTCACTTTTCAAATAACTAAAATTTTGTAACTGCAGTGATATGATGACTAAAGACAGTTACAATAACTGCGCTAATATTAACCCACTTCATTTTTTTTTAAACACTTATTTTACTAACTGAGTAATTGCTATTACTGGTTTGTTTAGGTGTAAAAGTTTAGTTAATTAACCCATAAATTTTTGAACTGTGTATTGTATGAACGTTTATTTTTCTGTTTTGGCCTCTTTTTTTTCACAATTTTTAATTTTCAATTATTGTTTTCTTAAAATTGTGTTTGTTACTTTGTAGAATTATTTGTTTATTAAATTGCCTATAAAAGGTCCTCAATTGTTCTATGAAACTGTTTCAGAAGTGGATGTTGAGCAAAGAATTAAACTTATTCAGTCAACCATACAGCTTACAGCCTTTGCTGCTGCCGCTGCTGCTTCTTCTTCTTTTGTTTCTTGTTATTTTTTGTTCTATTTTTTTCTTGGTAAACAAACGATAAGCAAAAGCAGTTTTTTAATGGAATTTTTGATGTCGAAGATAAAATTACAGATAAATTATTTAGTTCTTTTTTCTATACTGGAAGCGTGTAGCTACTAAACGTTCTAGTGGAGACTAAAATGATTTAAACTGATTATTAGAGCAAAGGTCGACAAGTGCGTTTGGTCGCCTTAATAATTGGTTGGAAGTTGAAGCTAGTGGTTAAGGTAGTAAAGCCATTTTAAACTAGAGGCTTTTAGATCATTATGGATTTGTAAACAATCAGCTAACAACTGTAGCAATTTATACGGTGATTATCCCTCTGCTAACCTTATTTAAGTTTATTTGTTTAATTAATGAACTATTCATACAGCAGAACAATTGGGGGATAAATGATATAAGCTGATAATTAACTGGACTTAATTGAAGTCGTAAAATAGTGCTGAGATCTGAGTTTTGAAGGAGTTTTTTTGGCATAATTGACAGCAAGTTTATGTTAACTGAATGATCGTTGTCACTGAAAAACAGAAATTGAACGACGTTGAGAAAGGATATATTTAATGCGGTAAACATCTATTAATTTGAGTTGAAATGCTGACAATGAACTAAAGAGCCACAGAAATTTTTATGTGGATTGAAAGAATAATCGTTCTTGGGTCCGAATATGGGTCGTCTTCGTAAAAGGATCTGTAAGATTAATATAGAAGCTAAATAACACTGTTAAAAAGACTATGTAGAGACAAGACTATGTGAAAACTTGTTGCTCAAGTTAACTGTTTGTAGTTGGAGATATAACAGTTCATCAGCACTTCTACCAGCTACTTAATGGTTATTACTTTTCAAATAGTTGTTCTACTAATTATACATAAGCGAGAAGACAGTTTGCATTAAAAAATAAAACTTCTACCTAGAGCAGTTTAAGAACTGTTCTACTTGCTTGCTGTTAAAAGTGATTATTGACTTAACTTAATGGCTGAAGCAAAAATTAAAAATCGACGGAATAATGTGGGGGAATAAAAAACCGGTTAAATTTGATGAATGCTTACTAGTTTTCTGCTTGTTTTACTATGAGTCAGTTCTTGAGCCAAAATTAAAAGAGGCTCGAAATTAGCGCTAATTACTATAGATAACAATAAAACTTTTCTTTTTTTT